AGACAAATAAGAGATGAAAGGAGAAGGAAAGGGAAGATTAATAAAAAGACGAGGAGACTTTGGAGAATGGGAAGGAAAGGAGAGGATAAAAATTAAAGATAAAATGGGAAAAGGTGGAAAAAAAGAAGGGGAAAACAAAAAGAAGAAAAAATATAAGGAAAAGAAGGAAAAAGAAGGAAAAGATAGAGAATAATGCATAATAAAAAAGAGAAAGATGAGAAGAAGATGGCGGCGTAGATAAAGAAAAATGAAATGGGAAGATAGGTGGAAGGAAAAAATAGGGATGAAAAGGATGAATAGATAACAATTAAAGAATGAACTAAAAGAAGATAAAGAAAGGTGACGAGGATAATAATAGAAAGAGAGAATTATAAAAATTATGAGAACATGAGAGGAAGGGAAAAGAAGTATGATAATTATTTTAGGAAAGGATGGAGAACATGAAAGAAAAAGAATGGAAAAAAAAAAGAAGAAAATGAGAGGAAGATGAGAAAGAGAAGAAGAAGAAAAGGAAGAAGATAAAGAAGTAAGAAAGAAAATTAATACAAGGACAAGCAGGAGAAGAAAAAGAGAGCAGCAGTAGGTTAAAAAAACGAGGAGAAAGAGCAATAAGAAAAATAGGAAGAAAAAGACAGAAAAAAGAGAAGTTGAAGGAATATGGAAAATGAAGAATGAGTGTCAAAATGGAGAGAAAGATAGGTGAAAAAGAGAAAAAGGAGAAGAAAAAATAGTAGTAAAAATAGAAGAAGGAAATGGAAGATAGGTGGAAGGAAGAAAAATAGGGGTGAAATGATGAAAAGGATGGGAAGATTAATAAAGAATGAACACGGGGACAAGATGGAGAAAAATAATACCTCACACCATGAGAAAGATAAACATGCACAACTAGAAGGGAATTTGGATGAGGACAAGAGGTAGAAAGCTGAAAATTAACAAGGCAAATAAGAGATGAAGGAGAAGGAAAAGGAAGATTAATAAAAAGACGAAGAGACTTTGGAGAATGGGAAGGAAAGGAGAGGATAAAAATTAAAGATAAAAGGGGAAAAGGTGGAAAAATAGAAGGGTAAAACAAAAAGAAGAAAAAATATAAAGAAAAGAAGAAAAAAGAAGGAAGCCATAGAGAATAATGCCTAATAAAAAAGAGAAAGATGAGAAGAAGAAAGTGTAGATAAAGAAAAATGAAATGGGAAGATAGGTGGAAGAAAAAAATTGGGATGAAAACGATGAATAGATAACAATTAAGGAATGAACTAAAAGAAGATAAAGAAAGGTGACGAGGATAATAATAGAAAGAGAGAATTATAAAAATTATGAGAACATGAGAGGAAGGGAAAAGAAGTATGAGAACTATTTTAGGATAGGATGGAGAAGGATATATAATATATATAGACAAAGATAGAGAGAGGGAGAAGGTCAACAAAGAAAAAACGAGAAGGGATGGGAATTAGAGTGGGTGAGAGTAAGAAAGGATGGAAAACATGAAGGAAAAAAAAAGGAAAGAAAGAGAGAAACGATTAAGGAAGATGGGAAAGAGAAGAAGAAAATTAAGAACAAAAAAAGGGGGGATAGAATAAAAAGAAAGAACACGATAAATATTAGAACGAAAAGGAGAAGAAAAAGAGAGTTAGAGTAGTAGATTATGAAATGAGGAAGAATGAAAATTTTGAAGTAGAAGACAACGAATAAAACAGACAATGAAGAAAAAAGGAAAAAAAGAGAAAGATAAACACGCACATATGAGAAGGGAAGTTAGATGAGGGATAAAAAGCAGAAAAAAATAACAAGACGGTATAAGAGATGTAATAAGCTGAAAAGGTTCTGAGGGAGAAGGGAAAGGTTTCAAAGCGGCAATAAAGAACACTCTTAACGAAAGTGAAATTAACACATGGAATAAACAAAAAACACATGAATACTAAAGCAGATTCTTAAACTAAGGCAAGATATGTATACACTCAGGAAAATAGCTCAAAATGGAGGTACCTTCTTATTTAGAGGGTGAGCCTTAAACTTGGGGAATTTTGCCATCATTTCTTCTTCCAACTCAGCTGAGCTCTTAAGTTTTACTGGACGGTAACGTTGAGCTGTTTCAAGTTCAGGTTCCTTGGGCCTTGTCAGTGTAAGCTTAGGATTCCTCTACACTGATTCCAGCCATACCATCCTGAAAAATAGTTTAAATTTTTAAAGAAAATGTACTAGAAAATTAATAGAACTTTTAAGCAAGTTATTTGTATTTATATGTGACATGGAAAACCTCAAGCGGGGCATTGACATCTCCCTTGTACTAGATTCGAACGTCTTCATCATTTCTGCCATTGAAATAAATGGGGCTGCTGGTTCTCGAACACAAATCTGAAATAGAAATTTTCACCTTCAGAAACTAATGTCCATAAATGAAATGTGCAAGACATAAAAATGCATACTAACCTTTCTGTCTTCTGTACGTGTTTTAGCAGTTGAAGTGTACAAGTTGCTGGTAAATTTCCCAGGTCCTGTTTTTATGGAGAAATGTTTGGGGTTTGATGCTAAGGACATAAGCAAAAGTGAGAACAAATTGAGGAGATCAGATTAAAAATATGTGAAAAACGATACACTTAATAAGGTAAAAAATTTTAGTCAATAAATGACTCACCTGTCTAGTTTCCCCTCATCAAGTTTTTGCCTCATTATAGCTTTGATTTTCTTGAGCAAAATACTGTGACAGGCTGGTTATACCATTTGTGTGAAAAGAATTAATTCCCTGAAAAATGCCATGGCAACATCCCTTCCAATTATCGATGGAGAATACTCCACTGCAAGCAAGAAATTCATACCACCAAGTTATAATAAATAAGGGAAATGAAGAAAGAGCATGAATATGAGGACAAGAGGGGGAAGAATAACACCTCACACCATGAGAAAGATAAACACGTACAAATGAGAAGGGAGTATAGATGAGGAAAAGGGGTAGAAAGCATAAAAATAACAACACGAATAAGAGATTGAAAGAGAAGGAAGGATGAGATTAATAACACCTGTTGCAAAACACTGTTGAATTATATGAATGGAATACCTTGGCATTGATTTTCAGTAGACGTTGGTCAACAACTCAACATAGCCGCTACAAAGAAAACATGAGACTTTAGCAGGGAAAAACTCCATAACATATTATATACAAGCACGCAGAGGGAGGAAGAAAAAGATCAAAATCAAACATAAGAGAGAAAACGCACGCTGTCAATCCGTGAATACCAGCCAGAGTTTTCTTCCAATCGACAGCAACATCCATTATCGGGATTAGCTGAAAAGGTTCCAAGGGAGAAGGGAAAGGTTTCGAAGCTGCAATAAAGAACACTTTCAACAAAAGGGAAATTAACACATGGAGTTAACAAAATGGACATGAATACTAAAGCAGTCTCTTAAACTAAGGCAAGATGTATAAACTCAGGAAAATAATGCGGTCACTTAAAATGGAGGTACCTTCGTATTTAGAGGGCGAGCCTTAAACTTGGGAATTTTTGCCATCATTTCTTCTTCCAACTCAGCTGAGCTCTTAAGTTTTACTGGAGGTACCTTCTTATTTAGAGGGCGAGCCTTAAACTTGGGAATTTTTGCCATCATTTATTCTTCCAACTCAGCTGAGCTCTTAAGTTTTACTGGACGGTAACGTTGAGCTGTTTCAAGTTCAGGTTCCTTAGGCCTTGTTAGTGCAATCTTAGGCTTCCTCTGCACTGATCCAGCCATACCATCCTGAAAAATAGTTCAAATTTTTAAAGAAAACGTACTAGAAAAATAATAAAACGTTTAAGCAAGTTACATGTGACATGGAACAATTCATGCATGGTATTGACATCTCCCTTGTACTAGATTCGAACTTTTTCATCATTTCTGACATTGAAATAAATGGGGCTGCTGGTTCACGAACATAAATCTGAAAATGAGATTTTCACCATGTATTAGATTCAGAAAATTAATGTCCATAAATGAAATGCAAGACATAAAAATGCATACTAACCTTTCTGTCTTCTGTACGTGTTTTAGCAGTTGAAGTGTACAAGTTGCTGGTAGATTTCCCAGGTCTTGTTTTATGGAGCAAAGTTTGGGGTTTGATGCTAAGGACATAAGCAAAAGTGAGAACAAATTGAGGAGATCAGATTAAAAATATGTCAAAAATGATACACTTATAATAAGGTAAAAATTTTTAGTCAATAAATGACTCACCTGTTTAGCTTTCCCCTCTTCAAGTTATTGCCTCTTTATAGCTTGATTTTCTTGAGCAGAATTTGAAATTTTAGATGTAATTTTCATATGTATTCCTGTGAATCAATAATTGATAAGAAACATATTACACAGATTCCAGCACAAAAGATAAACAGATATAGAACAAAACTAGACAAATATGGAAACTAAAAGAGAGATATCGACCTTCTTGCACTAGCTGGATTAATGTTTTTCACTTGTGATTCAGATTTTGACTTCAATGCAGAGGGGTTTGAGATCATACTTGCCATTGTTTAGCTGTCTGGTGTTTCTTAGCAATTAGCATCTGTTCGTTGGGCTGTTTTCTGAGAAGTTATTTTTGGTGGCTGAGGAGTGCATGCTCCCGTTCAATAATCTCAGCAGTCAGTGAAACTACATTGGCTTTGTCAGTGAAACTTAATTGAGGCAAACCAAAAGTATAAACGAAGTTGATATTCATAGAGTGGAGCAATCCTTGGAGTGAGGACAGCTTCTTACAGGATCCCTGAGAAGTTAGCGAAATGTAATAAGAATCATAACCCCCAAAACAACAGTAGAATACTATGCAGATGGATCAAAACATACCAACTTGGCTTCCCCGTCAGGAGTCACTTCTTCCTATCAACAACATGGCTCAAAAGTTAGGGCTTATTATGCAAATTCCAGTGCATTGGTGCCCATATTATAGAATTGAGAATCAGACCAATTGTGAAATCCTATATATACAGGCATTCAAGATTTATTTCAAAGCATAAAAGAACAGAAGAGACAACACAAAGCTGAAATTAATAAAATAACCATCTCTCCATTAAAAAGCTTTTCAAATAATGAATTCCTGTGACAGGCTGGTTATACTATCTGTGTGAAAAGAATGAATTCCTGAAAATGCCATGGGAAACATCCATTCCAGTAATAATTCTGGGAATCGATAGAGAACATTCCACTGCAAGCAAGAAATTCATAACGCCAAGTTATAATAAATCAGGGAAATATTTTTGAGTAATAAAGTTAGCATTATTTCTTTTTTTTTTTTATTGCAGCACACTGTTGTATTATATGAATGTAATACCTTGGCATTGATATTCAGTAGCCGTTGATCGACATAGCCGCTACAAAGAAAACAGGAGACTTTAGTAGAGAAAAACTCCATAACATATTATATATACAAGCACAGAGTGAAGGTTTGATGCTAAGGATCTAAGCAAAAGTGAGAACAAATTGAGGAGATCAGATTAAAAATATGTGAAAAAATGATACACTTAATAAGGTAAAAATTTTTAGTGAATAAATGACCCACCTCTCTCTAGCTTTCCCCTCTTCAAGTTTTTGCCTCTTTATAGCTTGAATTTCTTGAGCAAAATTTGGAGCTTCAGATGTAATTTTAATATTTGCGTTCCTGTTAATCAATAATTGATAAGAAACATATTACACAGATTCCAGCTCACCAAAATAAAGAGATATTGAACAAAACAAGACAAATATGGGAAGTAAATGAAAGATATCTACCTTATTGCACTAGCTGGATTAATGCTTTTCACTTGTGATTGGGTTGCTGACTTCAATGCAGAGGGGTTCCTGATCATACTTGCTATTTTTTTTAGCTGTCTGGTGCTTCTTAGCATCAGTTTGTTGGGCTGTTTTCTGAGAAGTTATTTTTGGTGGCTGAGGGGTGCATTCTCCCGTTGAATAATCTCAACAGTCAGTGAAACTAAGTTGGCTTTGTCAGTGAAACTTAATTGAGGCAAACCAAATTGTATAAACGAAGTTGATATTCACAGAGTGGAGCAAACCTTGAAGTGAGGACAGCTTCTTTCAGAATCCTTGAGAACTGATATTACAGCAGAAACAGAACCATGAACAGCTGACTGCTTGTCACCAGATCCCTGAGAAGTTAGTGAAATGTAATAAGAATCATAACCCCCAAAACAACAGTAGAATACTATGCAGATGGAGCAAAACATACCAAATTGGCTTCCCCGTCGTGAGTCAGTTCTTGAGAGAGAAAGAGAGAAGGTCAACAATGAAAAAACGAGAAGGGATGGGAATTAGAGTGGGAGAGTGAGAAAGGATGGAGGAAAAAGAAGGAAAGAACGAGAGAAACGAATAAGGAAGATGGGAAAGAGAAGAAGAAAATTAAGATGAGAGAAAGGGGGGATAGAATAAAAAGAAAGAAATTGATAAATATTAGAACGAAAAGGAAAAGAAAAAGAGAGTTAGAGTAGTAGATTATGAAATCAGGAGAAAGTCGAAAAGAGGAAGAAGGAAAATTTTGAAATCTTCTTAAAGATAATTTTATTAGTCAGCTGGCAATTAGCATACTTGCGCTTTTGCTCAATTTTCTTAAAATCAACCTTATTATCATTCTTCATCGGCAACAAGTAAATATCAGAAATGGCAGCATCAGAAAAAGAACCTCAAAAAAACAAAAGATCATAGACCAACTAACCTTTTCATCATTAAAGTCAAAAATATCACCTGCATAAAATGAGATATAGATTAGCCTAGAGGGGTGGGGGTGGGGGGGTAGGTGGGGCGGGGGCATCTTCTGTAAACTTCTTCATCTTGACATTAAGTTCAGCTGTAGCCTTCATTAAACCAACAGCATTATTGACAGAAGGTGATTTACCTGTCAACCTCCCACGTAGCCTTCACTTCAACCTGATCAGTTATATAAAGAATATTATATTCAAATATAATGTCAACTGGATTGAAGAAAACACTGCGTAGAAATTAAAATAATAAAATATGATTAAATATTACCTTGCCGGGATGTTGATGGGATTGCGGCTGGATACGATATTGATGACCTTGCCATCGACATGACATTGTCGCCGACGGGCTTGACGTCGGCATCGAAGATGCCAAGGGTGGAGTCGTATTTGAGAAGGTGTGAGGCCTGCTTGACACCTCCGGTGTCATTGATGGCAATTACATCAAGGGCAGAATCCATCCTGAAAAATAGTTCAAATTTTTAAAGAAAACGTACTAGAAAAACAATAAAACTTTTAAGCAAGTTATTTGTATTTACATGTGACAAGGAACAATTCATGTGTGGAATTGACATCTGACTTGTACTAGATTCAAACTTCCTCATCATTTCTGCCATTGAAATAAATGGGGCTGCTCGTTCTCGAACATAAATCTGAAATAGAGATTTTCACCATGTATTAGATTCAGAAATTAATGTCCACAAATGAAATGCAAGACATAAAAATGCAAACTAACCTTTCTGCTTATCCTCTGATCATAGCTTCATCTCCATCCTCATCATCATCTGCCATTTCTCTATCAGACTCATCGTCATCATCATCACTTTGAAATCCATCCATCTCAACCTCATCTTTAGCTTCCTCTGCCTTTGCAGCTTCTGGACCTGGTTCATCGACAAGAAACTGTTAGTTCCCAGTCCCAAAAATGCATATCAGATTTCGAACCACATGTCTGAATAATCCGAAAGAACCCTTGAAAATGCTGTTACTTGCTGGGGCTGCAAATCTTACTTTACATTTCTTGTAGAGGGCATCATAGAAATCGCGCTCTGCTTCCGACTGTTCACACTCAATGACTTGGATGTAAGTTGGTGGCAGGATAAGAATTGGCCTAATTCAAGGTTTTGCCTCTCAAGTAAACTTTGAGTTTTCAAGAAAACTAGAAAACGAGACAATGAACTACCTCCCTTCCTTGTCCTTTGTTTCCTTTGTTCTCCTAAGCATTAATGGCCTAAGAATTGCCTTGATCAGTTTCAATGCTCTCTGATCACCATTCTCATAAGGTCTCTGTATTAACTTATTCCACCTAAAAGATAGCAAACGTTTAAATAATCTAATTCAGTTAAACTTATTAGCATGTATATATACAGTTAGTAATATATAAGACATACCATGGCTCAACATGCAAGAAACACAGAAGGCTGAAAAGATCTGGCAAATTATTCTGCAGCAATTAGTGAGTACATCATTAACATAAACCAGATTTCGAGAACAGTCTAAAAAGTATCACATTCTCAAATGAGACGGTCCTATGAAAGCCTCATCATTTTAGGAAATATGATAAATGGGGACATTGATGAGGAAACATACCTGAAGTGAGTACCAGTGAGACACCACCTGCAATGTGCAGACAATGTGAATGCAGCCCTAGCACTCATAGTTCTCCAGGATTTTATGGTGTGTGCTTCATCCAGTACAATTCGATGCCAATCAACTTCATGGAATATGCTACTCTCCACATCCTAAATGACAGTTCAAAACTGGCTAATGCGCATAGATCCAAATGAACAGAATAAATACACTTTCAAGCTAATGGGAAAAACATTGATACTGATCTGGAAAAGGCTGGATTACTTACAGTTTCCCCAGGCCCATAGCATCTGCTAATATCTGCAGAAACCACCTTTCGCAGAGAAATTAATATATACAACAACAAGAAAAACCAGGACATCAAGATATTAAATTGGAGTTAAAGAAAAAAAGAGTTAACAAATAAAATTCACTACCCCTCTTGCTGTTTCCAATGCAGAAGGAAATTCTGCAGTTGCTTCACCAGAGAAAATGTTCACATAAATTGCAGGACCCCTCCTGTTGAAAAGCTTGGTCAGCAAATTCCCAAATTAATAGAGCACTTGGGCAAATATTTTACAAATTTAGCTGGCACTCGATATATTCAGAAATTAGTTATTACAGATTACAGCTATATATCAAAAATGGCAAAACCATGAGAAATCTTACCTTTTTGCTCTGCCAGCCTTCCTCGCTAGATAACCAAAGCATGACAAACCTTATTGTTCAGAAATTAGTTATTACAGATTGCAGCTATATATCAAAATGGCAAAACCATGAGAAACCTTACCTTTTTGCTCTGCCAGCCTTCCCTTGCTGGATAACCAAAGCATCAAGTGCAAGCTTCTTAAAAGCTCTTTCAATCATCTTTTCCTCAATAGTATCTGCACATTGAATTATAATTTATGAATATTAATTTATGTCCATGCTGTGTTAAAAAATTAAAGATAAAACTGAATAAACCTCGGTGCAAAAACGGAACCCTTGAAATTCCTTCTTCTGATCAATCCTATGAGCACAATCCTGAGCTTGCAAATCAACCTGTGGATTCCTCCAATGTTGGTGAACACAATACCTCGATGGGGGTGTAATACTTGGCCAAACGAGTCTTTCCTTACCAGTTTTGAAGCACAATGAATCGAATCTGCCGATTTCAAGCCCAAACAAAACCATCAACCAATTTCCCAGAAAAATTATTCGAGAGAACACCCAAATGGCAATGCTTGAAATTACCATTTTGATAGAAACCACTGGACCCAAGAGACAAGACTGGGTTGATTCAGGCCAGCATTCAGAGAAAAAAGAGAAGCTTTTCTGTTTCCCCCGCTGTCCGGAACAGTATATTATTTTGTAGTATTTATTTTCTTTTTAAAAAAAAAAATTACGACCACCAATTTTTTTTTTTGAATGATAGAGAGAAAAACTATGTTACTACACGTGTTTTAGAAGCACTGCTCACACTTTTGCCAGCATGTTTTATCACTCCTTTGAAAGCAATCAAACTAGCCTCACGAATTCCAACATCTGAAGCATGCTGCCCATATCACCACAATATTGGATTTTGAAGGTTAAAACAAAAGAAAAGAGAAGAAAAAAAAAACATAAGATGAAGTATGTCACCTGTAAAGCAGATAAAAGATCACCAACCAAAGGATCAATCCTAATTGTGAGTGCACTTAGTTTACGAAGGGCAATAGCAGCACATGATCGAACAGTCCTGCAAACAACTTACATAACATTAGCTAGGAATATACATACATCGTAGTACCGAACATAACAGAATAAACGAGTCTCAAAAAGAACAGAAAAACCATAAGTATTAAAAGCTACCCTTGTAATATCCTGCAAACACTTAACAAATGTTGTTTGAAGTTGGGGAAGAAAAGGCTTTAGGGCCAACCCACCCATCCATATTATGATGCTAAAAGTTGAGAGAATTGAACTTTTAACTTGCCATGGGAATCTGTCCCGTATTTATACGAATCAACGGCGTACACCAAATAACAATTCATGAACAAGCAATCTAGAATGGCGTTACACTGGTGACCCAAAGGTTCAGACAAGTAGAGGACTGTTTGATAGTTGACACACTAATAAAGGGAATAGTTCACTGCATACCATAAATAGGCAACGTAATGACCACGTATAGCTTATTTTGTTGGTTGCAATCCCTTTAATAGTCTCATAGTCAAAACTAGCAATGTGTAGAACTATAGTAACAGCTCATACCCTGTGATTGGAATGACAAACTCCTTTAATGCTTGCTCACTTGTCACTTCAATTAACTCTCCAAGGCCCAAAGCGGCTTGCTTTCTTAATTCAGCAGATCCACTTGTAAGACCCTACAGATAATAAAGGAAATTCACATAACCATGCAATCAAAGCTCAACAATGTTGCATTCATAATACTTGTGGCCAATGCTTGTAATAATGTGAAACAGATTCCAAAAACGACAACAGCAATAATAAAAACAATCTTTATGTATGATTAATAGATTATACTTAGTTGCTTACATATAATAATTCTTGGAAGGATTTCTCTGCGATAATCATTAAATATTAGAAAATTTGGTATACAAATGAAGAGATTCTTTCAATGTGAACATTAAGTTCACAAACAAAAGATAAGCAGGAATACCTGGAGGAAAATAGGAAGCACAGGTTGAAGAGCTTTCCAGAGGAAAAAACCAGGTATTAGAACTGGTCCTCCGGGCATGTTTCTATACATCACGAACCAACTTTATATATGAAGGAAGAACTTCTTCAGGAACTGAACTTATCACACTAGACAATGCTTCCCAAGCAACCTGTAAAAGGGCATGGTAAGATAAACTAGTACATTGAAGTGCATTGTATAAATGTCATACAATGAATCAAAATAACCGTCACGGTAGCTGAATCTGAATCACTTAGTAAAATAATCAGGGTGGATATCACATTTGGAGCCTCAACAACAAGATATAGATCACTGGTTTTGAATAAATATCCAATAAAGTATGCAGAACTTTGTCTGACTGAATCCTGGAAGAATAAAACTTAAATAGTGTTAGCTAAAAAATGCAAAACAAAGAAGAAAAGAAAGTCACATTATCATTATTCAAAACAATAAATCATGCCTGAATATCTCCAACTCCTTTGAGAAGCCCCGACAGCAAAGACTTGATACCTTCCTCTTCAATTACAGTGACAACAGTTTCTGCTGCTTTCTTGGCGAGACTTTGAACCTCCGATATTTTCAAGGTGAAAGCATGACACATGCAAATTATGCAATGAAAAATAAAAACACAAATCAACTTAAGCAATGACTCAAATATAAATTATGTGAAAGACGAAACAAAGTAAATGGCATTATGGCATAAAAATTAGGTTCCTGCCATATCAGTATAGCCCATTGCAGTGAGTAAAGCAGGAAGGATGGTACCAATGGGGGCATCAAGACCAGGTCCAACAACCTCTGCTAAAGCTCCCAAAGCATGAGCATTGAAGGCACTGGATATAAAGCACTCTCACATGAAAGCACTCTCTATCTAAAGTTCAGAAGCAAACTGAATCATGAATAGGGGGAGGAAATGACCCAGCAATCACAATGTCTTCTTCAATCCTATGACATGAACACTCAATCCATCTTCTTTACGCGTAAAATCGAAAGAAATTCTAGAGATTCAATGTCTCAAACAGAACCAGGCATAATCCTAAATGTTCAGAAAGATCAAAGGGGAGCAAATGAAAAAGGTGCATACTTTGGAATATGGATGAAGGTTGGCCATCATGGATCATCAATCTTTAATCTAACTTCTCCAATTCATTAAACCTCTCTATGATAGCCTGCAGTTCCAGAAGAAATCAAACATCCATTTTTTTCTGCAAAATCTATGCAAAGTACATTTCACCAGAACAAGGATAAGGCGCGAGAAAAATCCTTCTTCTTGCGATTACTCTCACCTTCTTACTTGTTTCTTGGAGCTCCCCAGCGAGAACGAATTCATCTAAGATTAGATATACCTTCATAGGAAAACAATGCAGCATACACAAGGTAAATACACTAGAAGTAAAAGAAAATACAGAGATTCACAATGAGAAAGACTGACAAATCATACCTTGTGAAAGTTAAAAACCAAGAAGACTGACAAATCATACCTTGTGAAAGTTAAAAACCAAATCTAACTCGCAGACATTACTAAAGAAGTGATCCAGTATCTCCACAAACAAGTGGATGCACTTCAAATAAGCCAACTCGTTGTCCGTCATATCAACACAGAGCGAGAAAAATAGCCCAGCATACCGCTTGTAGATTATCTTGTGTGCTCGGAACTGACAAGTAAAACATCAACTACACGCCATTACAATCCCGAAAGGACCAAAGAATTCACTCTCATAGTCTGTAAAAGTGTCTTCAAAACGACACCCTCAGGGATTAACAGTATGTTTTATCTCATCTCCTTCTTCGATTAGTTAGTAGAACTGTGGAAGAGAACTAGCAGGTGAGAAACAATTAACTATTTCCTTCACATTCCGCTCTTAACAACAATCAACAGAATCAGTATTCAATCAGAGCATCTTTGGCAGTACAGTTTAAGGAATCAATGGCCTCTTAACTTTGAAAGGAATAGAACACACAGCACAGATCTTATCATTGCATGAAAAGTTTTACATGAGGCAATAGAACGATTTGTGAAAAAAAAAAAAAAAAAGTTCTAACCCTCTCAGCTCCACAAAGTTGATGAATTTGGGGTCTCTATTCACGACCAACCGCTGAACCTCCAGAACCAGATCGAATGTTAAAACTCAGCGTTAATGACACAAATGTATCGAGATATCATAGCAAGAACATGTTTTCGACTTTGTGCTTCTCGGATTCCTCAAGGGGGGTGTAATACTTGGCCAAACGAGTCTTATCCTTGCCAGTTTTTAAGCAGAATGAATCAAATCTGCCCATTTCAAGCCCAAACCAAACCATCAACCAATTCGCCAGAAAAATGAATCGAGAGAACACCCAAATGGCAATGCTTGAAATTACCATTTTGATAGAACCACTGGATCCAAGAGACAAGACTGGGTTGATTCAGTCTGGCATTTAGCGAAAAAGAGAAGCTTTTCTGTTTTGCCCGCCGTCTGGAACAGTATATTATTTTGAAGTATTTCCTTTCTTCTTTTTAAAAAAAAAAAAAAAATACAACCACCTAGTATTTTTATTTTTAATGAGAGAAACTATGTTCTAGACGTGTGCTAGAAGCACTGCTCACATTTTTGCCAGCATGTTTAATCACTCCTTTCAAAGCAGTCAAAATAGCATCACGAATTCCAACATCTGAATACTGCTGCCCATATCACCACAATATTAGATTTTGAAGGTTAAAACCAAAGAAAAGAGAAGAAAAAAAAAACATAAGATGAAGTATGCCACCTGTAAAGCAGATAAAAGATCACCAACACCAAAGGATCAATCCTAGTTGTGAGTGCACTTAGTTTACCAAGGGCAAGAGCAGCACTTGATCGAACAGTCCTGCAAACAACTTGCCTAGCATGAGCTAGGAATATACATCGTAGTACCGAACCTAACAAAATAAACGAGTCTAAAAAAGAATCGAAAAACCATAAGAATTAAAAGCTAACCTTGTATTATCCTGCAAACATTTATCAAATGTTGTTTGAAGCTGGGGAAGAAAAGGCTTTAGGGCCAACCCACCCTTCTGTATTATGATGCTCAAAGTTGAGAGAATTGCACTTTTAACTTGCCATGGGAACCTGTCCCCTATTATACGGATCAACGGCCTACACCAAATAACAATTCATGAACAAGCAATCTAGAATGGCCTTAAACTGGTGAGCCAAAAGTTCAGACAATTAGAGGACTGTTTTATAGTTGATGCACTAATAAAGGGCATAGTTCACTGCATACCATAAATAAGCAACGTAATGTCTACGCATAGCTTATTTTGTTGGTTGCAATCCTTTTAATAGTCTCTGGTCAAAACTAGCAATGTGTAGAACTATAGTAACAGCTCATACCCTGTGATTGGAATGAAAAACTCCTTTAATGCTTGCTCACTTGTCACTTCAATTAACCCTCCACGGCACAAAGCTGCTTTCTCTCTTAATTCAGCAGATCCAATTATAAGACCCTGCAGATAATAAAGGAAATTCACATAACCATGCAATCAAAGCTCAACAATCTTGCATTCTTAATACTTGTTACCAATGCTTGTAATAATGCGAAACAGATTCCAAAAACGACAACAGCAATAATAAAAACAATCTTTATGTATAATTAATAGATTATACTTAGTTGCTTACATATAATAATTCTTGGAAGAATTTCTCTGCTATAATTATTAAATATTAGAAAATTTGGTATACAAATGAAGAGATTCTTTTTAGGGCAAAAAATAAATGAAGTAAATGAAGTAAGCCTACAAAAGAATATTGACACCTATAAACTTAAATGAATCAACCACATTTCTCATAGTATTTCAAAGAGAGAGAGAGAGAGAGAGAGCGCGGTAAGCATAAAGAACAAGCTTAAAGCATGTAATTATAATACATAGCCCGTTCAACAGGAAGGAGCACATTAAGATGCCAACTCCATAGCAAACATGTAAACCTTGTATATAACAACAAAATAAAAGATTACCAGCGTTCGTGATATTAGGATAGTCATAACAACAGGAAGATCTTTGGTTCCAAGCACATCAGCCACAGAATGTAAAGCCAATGCTATCCCGCCCTTGTCTGCCGATCCAACCAGCACCAATATTGTCCTCACAAAAACCAGCATCACGGATATACAATCATTTTTAAACTAAAGAGCACACTTGAAAATTATTTTTAAACTAAAGAGCACAATTGAAAATTATTTTTAAACTAGAGCACATTTGAAAATGATTTTTAAACTAAAGAGTACACTTGAAAATCATTTTTAAACTAAAGAGCACACTTGAAACTCCTTTTTAAACTAAAGAGCACACTTGAAATCATATACCTATTAATAGTACTTGAACCAAATAAAATGACACCTGCTGTGGTTTTAGTATTTCAGCAAAGGACAAGGTCAAAACATTTTATCACACAGTATAGCAAAAACTAATTAACCCAAAAGGATGAAATAGGCAGGCATACCTTTGACAGAATCAACAAAGAAAACAAAAGGATCCACCTCATCAATGGCTGATTGCAACTCTTCATCACAAAAATCATCATCAGATGAGTCATCCTCATCATCATTGGAGCGGAAAGCACTCGCCTGAAAACCACAAAGTTACAGCATATAGAGATGGATGCTAATTTCACAAAGGAAATGAACAGAAAACAAGCAGGAACAAGATGCTTAGATGGGTATGATACAATTTGTCTCTTAATTCTGTTACCTTTGCTGCCAACTTTTGGAGCTTTAGGCTGTCAGCTTCATCTCCATCCTCGTCATCATCTGCCATTTCTCTATCAGACTCATTGTCATCATCATCACTTCAAAATCCATCCATCTCAACCTCATCTTCAGCTTCCTCTGCCTTTGCAGCTTCTGAAGATATAGAAGGTAGAAAATGATATCAAACATTAAGAGAATAATCAGAATATACCATCTAAGGTGCAAATGAAACAAATAGAAAAAACAGTATGGGAAAAACATAGAATAAAAAAAAAAAAATAAAATAAAATGGTTACTTAAGACTCATCGTCATCATCATCACTTCGAAATCCATCCATCTCAACCTCATCTTCAGCTTCCTCTGCCTTTGCAGCTTCTGAAGATATAGAAGGTAGAAAATGATATCAAACATTAAGAGAATAATCAGAATATACCATCTAAGGTGCAAATGAAACAAATAGAAAAAACAGTATGGGAAAAACATAGAATAAAAAAAATAAAATAAAATAAAATGGTTACTTACCAGCAAGTTGCTCCTTGTGCATACAAGGAGGTCAAGAATGACCTTAAAAAGATGCCCTCAAAGGCAGCTGCTGGCATTTGATCAGCAGGAAGACTCAGCAATGATGTCAAGCCCAAGCAGCAAACCTTCTTCTCATGCTCCCTGCAATACCAACATGGCAAGAATTAGAAACCATCACTTCTCTTAGCTTTGTTTTTCTTATGCCTTTTACATCTCTCCACAAGAACTACAAGACCAACATATTGCTACCTTTTAGAATTAGCCCGAGCTCCACTTTTTTTAGTTTGTTGTAGCATATGGAACCAAAGATTGAAGATCTCTGTAGCAACACCAAGCTTTTGCAGTATGCTCAGCGTAAATGAAGGGTTATAGTAAAGAGCATCAACAATCTGTCAATAAGAAACAAATTTAGAAGTAATTTCACAGGAAAAGAAGGCCACAAACACAGAGTACTTTTTTTTATTTGAATGATAGAGAGAAACTATGTAACTACAAGTGTTCTAGAAGCACTGCTCACACTTTTGGCAGCATGTTTGATCACTCCTTTCAAAGCGGTCAAAATAGCCTCACCAATTCCAATATCTGAAGCCTGCTGCGCATATCACCACAATATTAGATTTTGAAAGTTAAAACCAAAGAAAAGAAACATAAGATGACGTACGTCACCTGCAAAGCAGATAAAAGATCACCAACCAAAGGATCAATCCTAGTTGTGAGTGCACTTAGTTTACCAAGGGCAAGAGCACTAGATCGAACAGTCCTGCAAACAACTTGCATAGCATGAGATAGGATTATACATCGTAGTACCGAACCAAACATAATAAACAAGTCTCAAGATGAACCGAAAAACCATAAGTATTAGAATCTAACCTTAACCTTGTATTACTCTGCAAACACTTAACAAATGTTCACACTCGTATGACTATATTTTCAAATGCAAACCGAAAAAGAAGAATGCACAAAATTGGAGAAAAGAATCCTACATCCCAAAAGTAAAAGAACATCAACATTCTACTACTTGTTAACAGCCCTAAAATATTATATGCTATGCAATGACGTATCTATGCAGGACCACACATTTAAGACTTGCTCCCTAACTGTTAAGTAGCCACAGGAATGTTCACACTTGTAGACTATATTTTCAATAACAGACAATGGTTGTATACAGTAAACATCTAAGATTACTACCATTCTTACCATGATCACCACAAAGAAGTTCAGATTCATTAAACCAACAGCATTATTGACAGAAGGTGATTTACCTGTCAACCTCCCACATCATAGCCTTCACTTCAACCTGATCAGTTATATAAAGAATATTATATTCAAATATAATGTCAACTGGATTGAAGAAAACACTGTGTAGAAATTAAAATAATAAAATACCTTGCCGGGATGTTGATGGGATTGCAGCTGGATACGATTTTGATCGGAGAATACGCTCACAACTGCTTCTCCGATTCTGTCTCCCGCGGCGGCGATCTCGTGTGTGATCTCGTTCCGGCAGACGTCCGAGCATGACTCGCTGATCGCCGGGATGAGATCGCGGATTGTCTCGTATATGTCCATGAATTTGAAGAGCCGTCGACGGAGATGGCGTGGTCGTCGAAGATGTCAAGGGTGGAGTCGTATTTGAGAAGGTGTGAGGCCTGCTTGACACCTCCGGTGCCATTGATGGCAATGACATCAAGGGGAGAATCCTTCCTTCCATGCCAGCACTCAAGAAGTTCCTTCCAATTCTTCCGAATCCATGAATGCCCCCCTCCTCTGCTTCCCTTCTCTGGCCTCCTCTATAGCCGAGGCAGAGCAATCGGAAATAGGAAAACCAAAATAAATAGCCGAGTACGATCTTCGGCGCCGACTTAAAAATTAAATCCGTTGAAGATTTTCTTACAAATTAAATCCGTTGGAGATTTTCATACAAATTTTAATCCGTTGGGAGATTTTCTTGAAATTTTAATCCGTTGGAGATTTTTATAAAAATTTAATTCGTCGGAGATTTTGAAATTTAAAGCCGGCGAAGGGAAGGAATCGGAGGAGATTTGAGACAGTTTAGAGAGAGATGAGAACGTACAGTGTGGTCTGCCTGTCCAAAGTCCGAACAAGGGTTAGGCTTTGGATATTTATACGTGTGCCGATGAGTAATAAATTGGGCTTAGCACAAGAAATGTCCATGGGTAATTAATTAGCCCATTTTTTTATATAATTTGGGGCAGTGTATATGTTTATGACTATTAAATAAAAAATAAAAACACCTTGGGTCATTACTTCTCATCATTATTCTATAGACTATGGTCTATAAATTTTTGTAAACTATAAATAAAATATATATTTTTATTTTTAATATATTAAAAGTATATTATTTATATACATAAAGTACATTATGTATATACATAAAGTACTAGTGAAGGGGGATTATTAATGTAAAAATTTAATTTAAAATAAGACTAAAATTTTGCTAAAAATAAGCACACTAATAATTAATGGATTGAGCAGATACATACTTTCTCCTATTAGAGTTTGAACTCCATTCGAAAGAGTCATAATTATGTTGTTTGACCACAATATTTTTTATGAGTATGATTTTTTTTTGGAAAAATGGCACTTTTTCCCCCTGTGTTATATACTTATAGCACTTTTTCCCCCTATATTATTTAAGTGGCAATTTCCCCCCCTGATATATTAAATGGACATATTACCTTTAAAATAAATATTTCCTTTATTTTACTTCTCCAACAAATTATAACCACAATTTGAAAAAATAAAATACATTAATTGTTGAATTTAGAATACTTTAAAAATAAAAAAATAAAATTTTAAAATAATGTTTGAACCAACAGTTCAAATTGGATCCGAAATTGTGAAACAACGATTCAAAATAAAAATCAAATCGCGATTATATATACTTATATGTGAGAGCCAATATAAATGCGAAAAAAACATACACTATTTGCAAATATTATAATTCTAATTTTAAGCTATTGCTAGTAGTTGTTCCGATTTGAACCTCTGGTTCACGGTTCAGAATCTATTTTTTTCCACTTCACAATTTTAATAAACGGAAACCCAAATATTGGGTTATGTTATGAATCATAACCGAATTTTTTTTTTTATTTGATTGCTATAGTGTTCGGTTCAGTTGGAACCGAACCGTGGCCATCCCTACGTATAAACAATAATTTGTTGAACAAGAGAAATAAATAAAATATGTATTTTAAGGGTAAAAATGTCTATTTAATATTATCAGGGGGAAAAACCGTCACTTTTATAATAATTGAGGGGGCAAATGTGGATGCATGAATAACTCAGGGGGAAAAAGTGCTATAAGCATATAACATAGGGGGAAAAAGTGCCATTTTCTCTTTTTTGTTTTTTAAATACTCATGATTTTTTACAAGATAGTATCGAGATATTTTTTTTTAATTCATTAGTAATTCATGATAATAAATTTATAATAATTAATAGGAAGTAGTAATTTTGGAGTGTGTAACATTTACCTTTATAAATTACTAATGACTAGGTCCATCTGTTAGTGTTGGCCGTTTCTGACAAACTTAGATATAAAATATATGAAAAATAGTCAAATAGGCATCTAAACATTACACGATGAATCAAGAAAAATTATTGTGTGGACCATAACAAAAAGTACATTTTTATTATACTGAATGTACATTATTTTTGTACTGAATGTACATTATTTTACAATAGACAAAATATGGTCCACAGAACATGATTGATAAATCAATTAGGCCCATGAACTTTTAAAAAGTGCAATTATACACATCAACTCGCGATTTTAAGGCATCCAACCCCATTAGCCAGTTACATCTCCAGTAAGTTTTGATAAATGACTCGACTTGGCACATAAGCTTTGTTTTGAGTATTTGACTCTCCACATAAACATAAATAATAAAAAAAATAATAAAAGAAATTTTAAAACTCACATCTATAAAGCAATGTGATCACCTCTATTGAGACTCATCAAACTCATAACCTCTTATCTAAGAATTCAACTTTGATCAGTTGATGCCATTAGACCACAAGGTCTCGACTGTTAAGTATCTAACTACTGAAGTAGTTAAGTACTTAAGTTATAAGTTATATGAATGTAAGTTTGTAATAGCTTATGATATTTTAGTTTGTAAGTTTGTATGTTTCTTCTAAAAAAAATGTCAAATTGGTTATTTTAATTAAATAAACAAAATCGAATTATCCGACGGTTTTAACGGATATCAGTGGATTAAATCAACTGTATATCCACGGTTTTAAGTAAAAAAAAAAAATGATAAGAGCTTAAATAGTGTATCTGATATCCGCTCGGGATGACCATCTGTGAACTCGAGCCGTCCGAACCCGTCCTACGCACATCCTTATGCCCAAGTACCAATCATTAAACGTTAATACATATTTTAATTAATTTAGAAGTAAAAAAAAAAAAAAAAAAAAAAAAAAGATAAAACTCACAACCGCTACATATGTATTATGGATAGATCTCACATTGTGACTCTAACTGGGAAAATATCACATTAAAATTAATCAGCTTAGATTATTTATAGTTAACTTGCTCAAACTGAGAAGCCCAACAAAATTGTTTATAGTGAAAATAAATTTGAAATTTTATAATTATCAAGTTAAAAATCTGATTCATTCGAATGGGATACACCTATTAATTTAGAAATTAGAAGTATTCAAGACACCGCGTTTGGGCATGACTTTAGGAGCACGAGGGGGAAAGTAGAATATAAAGGCCATGTTTGGTAAATGGCTGTTATTGATAGCTGTTAGCTATTAGCTGATTGTGTTAATTAGATGTTGTTATTCAAAATGCTGTTAGAAAAGTGTTTGATAAATTAGTTGTTAGCTGATATTTGTTTGGTATAATTTCTTTTCTAAAAAAGCTAATTGAAATAGTTGTTTGAAGTAGTTTTTTGAATTTTAGCATTTTGGAGTTGCAAAAAGCTAATTAACCAAATACTTATATTGATATTTTAACTAAGGGTCCGTTTGGAAAGCAGGAAAATGACTTCTGGAAAATGATTTCCGGAAAACATTTTCCTTTTCCCGTGTTTGGTTGCATTTGGAAAACTGTTTTGGTGTGTTTGGTTCATTTTCTGGAAAATGAGTAGAATGATATAATTAAATATTTTAATTATTTTATTCTGAATTAAAAATTCATTTTAAATCTTTAAAACAAAAAAAAAAAATAATAATAATAATAATTATGGCTTCCGGCGGAACTGGGATACGACAGAAACCATAGCTATGGTTTCTGGCAGAACCCAGTTCCGCCAGGAAAAAAAAAAATTGAAAGAGAAGAGGCAGAAAACGACTTCCGCCCAAATTTGGCGGAAGTCATTTTCCGCCAAATTGGGCTCATTTTCCCCAGTCAACGGAAAATGTTTTCCGTTGACTGGATTTTTCAGGTGTAGCCAAACACCAAAAACCCGGAAAATGACTTCCAGAAGTCATTTTCCGAGTTTCCAAACACAGCCTAAAAGATTTGTTAATGTTGGAAGTTAGATAAATATATGACATTCAAAATTCATGTTAAGTCCACAACTTCCAACTGAGCTGAGCGAGCTGTAAGCTTAAATTACAAGATTCAAGTTTAACTCTGCAATTACAAGATTCAAGTTTAACTCCTTATAAGAACTGTGAACTAACCTTCTCAATTTAAGCTAGCTAGCTTAGACAAACTGGAAACTTTCCCGTAAATCAAAGAAATATTGATGGTAGGGAGATTTTTAATGCGCAAAATATAACAGTGAAATTCACAAGCTCCACTATTTTGTTTATGGAGCGATGAAAGGAAGGAGAGATGAGAGATATTATTGTAGCAATTTCCTATTTGATTAAAATTGATATTTCACCTAAAAAGTAAATAAAACTTCGAGGACTTTGTGTAAACACCCTTCATTGCTATAGAGAAAAATATATAGTTATATACACACAAAGAAGATTGCACAACTAGAAAACAAGATTCTATTCCCTGGGAGGGGTTGGATTTGAATTTACCGGATCCTTGTCCACTTCCATAGCCATAACCTCGTCCTCGGTTTTATCCTCACTTGTCCCAGCTTTTAATCTCTGTCAAATTTAAGATATTGAAAACACAAGGTGCTTTATGATTGGCCAATGAATAAAATGAGTGCTAATAAGCTCAGTTATTCAATTCTACATGGCTAGTGCATTGATGGACTTAATGCCATATTCTTGTTTTCCTTTTGCCTCCTTGTGGGAAGAATTTATTTGGGTTACTGAGAAAAAAGTGATAGATTTTGAATAAAACTGACCTTGCTAGCTGGAGAATTTTCATTCAGCATGCGCGCAAACATTGTTGTGTAGAGGTTTGCATCTCTCTTGTTGCTTTCAACTTGAAGTTGTTTCAAATTCTTCTGCATTAGTTTCACCTCCCTGAGGATTTCATTTAATCAGAAATGTTGTCTTTATTAAAGATATAAGCAAAATAGATGGTAAACAAAATGTTATGGATCAATTAATAGTCATAAAGGTCAAGTTAAAGGCTTATAGCAGAGTAAAATTCAACATTTGGTAGCATTACCTATTCTGAGGATCAATTTCCAGCGATCTCTTGATGTCCAATTCAGCCAAGTGCAGGTCATTTGTCTTCATATAAGCTTGTGCTCGCCTATACAGAGCCTTCACATTTGACGACTCAACACTAAGGACCTATTCGTCATAAGCAGAGTGTAAGACTTCCTTCAGTGCTGCAAAAGATTGCCCCTAAAGCTAAAGGTTACTAGAATAAGAAGCCAAAGATATTGCGCTTGTTTGTCTCAGCCAGAACGTCTTGGAAAATAGACATTTCTGAGAAGCCTCAAGTCCTCAACTTTGGAGGTACTGGAAAGAGAGGCTCTTTGCTTCTTATCCAACTTCATAGACAAGCTATATGGGCCAAACAAATCACATAGTACAAGCAAAAAGAGAGATATTTAAATAATATACCATTGAACATTGTTTGATTGCTTCCTCAAAATCATCCAATTTGAGACAACAAGCTGCACCATTCAACCAGCACGATACTCGCAACGATTTGATCATGTTCTGATCATCATCTCCAAAGGG